TATAAAGTAAAATGAAAAATGTCCATCAAATAAAAAATAATAATTCATAATCTTATATGTCCTCCCTCTATTAGGTTCATAAAATTGAAAAGAAAGCAAAATATATTGAGAATTTGAGGTATGGATTTGCTTTTTTTGTTTTTTAAATTTTTTTTTAAAAAATAAAAAAAATATCACATGTACATCCACCGGTTAGGTAACGTGTGGAATTTCTCAGCAAACCTAAATAGGTGGTTGATGTATTTTGGTAGATAAGTAAGACCACAACCACCAAAGAAGCCTATACGTATATAATTAAATGGCTCAAATTGGTTAAGTCAAAACAATACAAATTAGGAATTTTGATACCGACTCATGGTGCATTCGAACACAACAACCGTTAACATACTCGAGGTGGTCCGAGTTAGCCCACCACCGGCTACTGACTCGCTCACACTCCCACTCACTTTCTTCGACTTAGGTTGGCTCAAACTCCACCCCGTTGACCGTGTTCTTTTCTACCGCGTCCCCGAGTTGACTCGCTCTTCCTTACTCGCTAAACTCAAGTCCTCTCTCTCCACCACGCTCCTCCACTATCTCCCACTCGCCGGCCGCCTTGTGTGGGACCTAACTAACACCAAACCGTCCATCGTCTATTCTCCTGACGACGATGATGCCGTGTACCTCACGGTAGCTGAATCCAATGGTGATCTAACCCGTTTGGCCCGTGACGAACCTCGTCCCGCCACCGCGTTTCATCCTTTAGTCCCCGAGTTACATGTTTCCAATGAGTCGACTCGCGTTTTCGCCGTTCAGATAACGTTCTTCTCGAATCAAGGGTTTTGTCTAGGCCTAACCGCACATCATGCTGTTTTGGACGGTAAAACAATATCCATGTTTCTCAAAGCATGGTCTCACAATTGTAAACAAGAACAACAAGAATGTGGTCTTGATGCTGCTCTACCGCACGATCTAATCCCTTTTATGGATCGTACGGTAGTCCAAGATCCAACAGGAATCGCGACCAAACTCTTAACCCGGTGGGTTTCGGCTTCTAACAACAAACGAAGCTTAAAAATGTTTCCGTCCAAGGTTATCGGAGACGACGTGGTCCGTGTCACGCTCCGGTTAACACTTGAGAACATACAGAAGCTACGCGAACGAGTCCTCGAGAGACGAGCGGAGATGCATTTGTCGACGTTTGTTATCACTTACGCTTACGTTATAACTTGTATGGTGAAGGCTCGTGGAGGTGACCCCACCCGGCTAGTGTGTGTGGGTTTCGCCTCCGACTTCCGGTCCCGGTTAAACCCTCCGTTACCTTCGACGTACTTCGGCAACTGCATTGTCGGGTCAGGAGATTTCGACTTAAAAGCAGAGCCGATTTTGGAAGAAGGAGAAGGAAAAGGGTTTGTATCGGCGGTGAAAAGTGTGAGTGGTTGGGTCAAGGGTTTGTGTCCGGAGAATATAGAGGAGAGTATGCTTTCACCGTTCGAGGCGTTTAAAAGGATGGAACCGGGTAGACAGATGATTTCGGTTGCCGGGTCGACCCGATTGGGAATATACGGGTCGGATTTCGGGTGGGGAAAGCCGGTGAAGGTAGAGATAGTGACGATCGATAAGGACGAGTCGGTTTCGTTGTCGGAGAGTGGAGATGGAACCGGTGGTGTTGAGATTGGGGTTTGTTTGAAGAAAGATGATGTTGAACGTTTTGGTTCGTTATTTTCAACCGGTTTAAAAAAACTAAATATCTAAGTCACTTCGATATTTTATTTACTTCAATATGCTAAGTAATCTTACTGTTTGATTTGTACTTTGTCTTTCTATGCCTTGGCTTAAATGCTGATTGGAAGTTTGATACAATCTATTTCCCGTACACTTAAGAATATTCATTTAGTTGATCAAACCTACTTGGCAAGGAGTTTATGAAATAGTATATTGTTTTGATCCTCATGTAACATGTAGGTTTCTTATATCAGAAACATGTATAAGAAAAATATCACATTTTTATCAGTAGATATATCATTCAAAAAACGGTAAAGCTCTTGCTCTAAGTAAGTACTATTTTGTAATGATTTTGACATGAAGATTCAGTCCAAATGATTCCACATATCTAAACTTCTCACACGTATAATTTCTTAGCTCCCTAATGTTATAATACAAGTTTTTTAGTAAAGTGAATAATCAATACGTAATTTGCAAAGTAAATTTCGTTTATTTTTGTGTCGGTAACTTGTGACCAACTTGAAGCCACTTTTCAATACACAAGCTGTGAAAGACATGCGAGCAAGGCAAAACGATTGCTTCTTCCCCAAGAAACATCTCTCCAACGCAAATCATACACGGATCGAGCCGGTCCATGTCGGGTCCAAGCACTTTATAACGCTCTAATATGGAAACCGCTGATCTATCTGCACGTATCGGACATCTACTTGATGAAAGCTCCATCTGGACCGCCTCCTTTATCGCCTTATTCGCTCTTCTAGACACATCAAGGAGATGTGTATAATGAGTGCAACCCACCTCCTCTATCAATTGTCTGATTTGATCTTCCCAGATAGACAAACAGATCAAGTTCTCTTTCTCCTCCACTCTTTTCTTGATCAAATCCAAGATCTTACTCTCAATCAATTTCGGACACCGACAACGCTCGAGTACTGTCTCGTAATCGACAAGCCTTAGCTTACATATTTCGTTGATTTGAAGCTTAAGAGTCAGCCACTTATCGTCACAAGAAAACTCATTCTTCCTCATGAGTCTCATTCGCTCCACAAGATTGCCAATAACTTCAGGTTTGTCTTCAAATTCACTAAGTGAGAAAGGCGTATTCTCGTAGATCTCCCTCCGTATAACCTCGTAAGCTTTCGAACTAGTAGTACTTGTAGAGTCTGTTGTATCGAGGTAAGAACAGGAGAAACGAAATTTGTGAGTAGGCTTTGTTATCCTCGCAGATCTAGGGTTACAAACATAGACCTCCTTAAACTCAATCTCTATAAAGAATTGAGCATACGAGAGAGTCTTCTCGCACTCAAGAACAGAAATCTGATTCTCCGGTACTGATTTCTTCAAAACCATTTCGTGAGACGTTTTCTTAGGATAATATCTTAACCAAGGGCCATAGACGTTTGTTCTTGACGTGGCGTTGAAGTCACGTTCTTCAGGGAACCTAAACTCGTCACGACTTCTCTTGTGACCAATCATTCCGCAGTTGTAACAGAAATCTCCCAAGTTTATGTATTTAAACTGCACAAATTTATTTTCTGCTATGTAGAATCCTGGATTGAGTGGCTTCTTGAGATCAAGTTCTTGGGCAAAGAATCCAAGGTCTTTTTCTTCGTCATCAGTTACTAAAACGGGACAGTTTTCGCCCATAAGAGTTTTGAGTTTGGAGAGAGAAAATTTGTTGTAAAGATATGGTGAGAAACCCATGACTGTGGCATGGAACCGAACAAAAGTGAAATCAATCGTGTCATCTGAAGAATCTGGATCTTTGATCACTATGAGAACTCCATTGACGTAGAAGGGTCCTTTTTTTAGAACTTCCCTTTTGTCTTTCTCTGTCTGAATTCGAACAAGAACTTGTCTCTGTCGTCGTTTACCTTTTGGACTGTCATGTCGCCGGAGAGAATCCATTGTTTTCGAAGCGATTGTTCTGTTTCGTCGAAAGATGGCGGATTTGACTTCGTGAAGAATTTTCCGACGAGACGGTGTGAAGAAGAGTTATCAAACATGTTTTAGGGTTTGATTTAGTGCTTCTAACTTCTTATTAGTTCTTCACTTCTTCTTATAT